CAACCGTCCGCGTCTACCGCTAACGGCCAATTGTAGAGTCCGTTATGTCCACTCCCGTTAGAAGGGGCCGCCCGGCGGGCATGAAGAGCTAATTCCCCGTAAATCACCCGATCCACGAATCGCCCGTTCTGAGTATTTATCGCGGCGATTATCGTGATCGTGATCGAGGATCGGAATTAGCGCTGACGGATCTCGGACGATGCCGATTGACCGATACGTTTGACGGGGAACCTTTTCGGCGTCTTCCGTTAGGATAAATAGTGGGTCTGTCGGCAAACGGCATTTTTCCGCCCAGTCCGGATGTACGTTCGATACATACCATCGACGTTTCGACTGATTTTTGTAGGAGACAGTTGCCTTCCTTTCAGTTTAGGCATTGAGTAATCTCTAAATAGTACGACCGTGATCTCAACGTGATAGCTCAGTGTACGGGCGCTCGCTTCTAGTTCAATGTACTCGAACAGAGTTCAAATCCCGCTGTCAATTAAATTATTATTTTTTTCAAAAATAATTATTTCGGAGACGTAAAAAGTAACAGTCTATACATGACTTTACTTTTAGCACTTATAAATTGTTTATTAAAACTAATAGTATGATGGACTTAGTTCTAATCGTTTCATTACTTCGAGTGTTTAATTAAGATGTAATTCGATTTGCTAATAGGCATAATGACAGTAGGTAATGATTTTAATTAATTTTATGAATCGATCAATATGACAAGTTTATCCATGTATATTTGATAGTAAGCTCTTTTCAGTTAGATTTATCAATAATTTTGCATTAAAAAATAACTTCATGAAATAAAACCCTCAGAAAATTCGTCAAATCCCCTACATTCACATTATTAAGAGCGTTTCCTACTACGTTTGGAACAAAAGAGGTTTATCGTTTTGCAACAAATTCAACGATAAACTTATCCGATTGTTTACGGCAAAAACAAAAAAAAAAAAAACCTTTCGAACAATCACCGGGTTGTCGCCATTTTTAATTTTCGAATGTAACGGACGGAGACCGTCTTCATTGTAGCTAGCAGCTTGGAAGTTCATTGTTAGTCAGCATCTTTCCGTCGGATCCGTTTCTCGCCGCGCGGAACAGCCTGATCTTTCTTTTGTTACGCAAGGCGGGAGCATGATATTATTCAAATAGATGGACCACTTGAAATGCTTCGAGCGTTTATAAAAGCGCCGCTATATGGGGTGGAAGTGATTTCATGCTGTTCCCTCCTATATGTATTGCTGTATTTCATTTGTTGACTCGGGATTTGCGCCGTGCATTTCTGTTGGACTAACTGAGTGTGGTTTATGGAATTTTTATAGCGATCGGTGCATCTGTATTTGCTTATATTGTAATGGAGCAATACGTTAAGCAAGTCACAAAATTCATTGCGATATCTAAATATTTTTCATGAGAGAAGGTTGTAAATGAGCTGACGGTTCGCCAGATGTTAAGGGATAAGCACAGCCTGTTGAAATTTGCATCACCTGTAGGGTTGCAGATGCATTGCCACCTTATTAACAAGTGGCCCTGGGTATGTCACTCGCCAGACGAATCGCAGAAGTATAGACATCCACTTCACGCCGGTCTTCTGTGCAGTACTTACCCGGACGGACTTGCCCATTCATAATTCCATTAGATTTCTAAGCCGCTTTAGCCTATTCAAAGCTTCAAAAGAGTGCGATGTATAAGGGAAAATATATATCAATTGTTGCGTTTTTAACGTTGTTGACGCCATTTTTAGTATCGCTCCGGAGCGAAGCAAAAAATTGTTTTCCGGTGTGGAATCCGTGACACCTGTTGTTGGCATCACTTTAAGCTTTATACTTTTTTTTTGCATTAGAAAACAGAATTTATTTTTTAACTTGTATTTTTTATTTTAAGTTATTGTGTTTGCAACGTCAATAATTTGTCGTGGACGTAATCTTTATTGTAATTTGTTAAATAATCGAAATCAATATGTAGCTTTAAAGATGTATGTATGTTTTCTACTATTTAACGTTATACCGTTTAGACATTTTTATACCTTCATCAGACACAAGTAAAGAAACTAAGTAAAAGTGAAATTTCCATTTTCTTTTTGTCATAACTAAAATTAG